CATTATATAAAATATATCACAATTATTGTTGATGGAAGTCCTAAAGAAGCTATAGTTAAATAAGTGCGAATGGATTTATAGAAGTTGGGTATTTATTTTATATTATTTGTTATATATCAAATACAAAGTAAAATAAGTAAATATATGAATTAATAGTATGATATCTAAATTAAATGAACTAAGTGAACTTGTGCTTCATTTCTATTTATTACTAAGAGGCTTACAACCTTTATATTGCTATATTATATATCATATACCATGTAAAGTTAGAATTACATAGTTAAATTATCTATATAAATAGATTACCCTACATAACATACATATTATATATATTATAAATAATATTCTTTTAAATTGTTTTTTTTGAGACATGTCTTTTTTCTCCCTTTGATCTTTTTGCACATTGTGTATTATAGCTTAAAATATATACATATTATTATTATTATTAATTTACTTTTATTATTTACATATGTAGGTATATAGAGCTGTTTTTATTGTGTTATATATTCAATTTTTTTTTACTGGGTATTATTTAGTTTATCTTTAATTGTAATATATACATTCTACATTTTTCTTTCAGCTTCTCAAAGGTTGACTGTAAGAGATCCCTTTATGGGATAAGTCCGCCATTGTATACTAAATCATTTACTAGTATTTAATCTGACTTATGTACAATAAAGATTTTTACAATACAATACAATTTTTTGCACTTTTTAGCACAATCATGAACATCACAAGATGTTAATGTTAGAATAAAAACTCAGCCCAGCTTTAACCACGGCGCTAGAAACCATGAAAGTTGGATTGGAATATTAACTTTGGAATAAACTTATGTTGCCTAACAAATTGGATTTAGTTACACAGGGAAGACCTTTTTGGTAATATGTTACCTAAGTAAGTTAAAAGTTTTGTTTTCGCTTTCTCTAAGGATTTTCTTTGCTTTAGAAATATCTTGATTTCTATTTACTGTGAAGGGCATGTCATTAATGTAATAAATTAACTAATGGAAAAAATTAGACCAAATCTTTCTTTGAGTATTACAAATAATTTCGACAATAATGTATTATATTTTCTGTCAATTCTGTCAATATTTTTGAAGATTTCTCTAATAGCTCCTGTGTCACTCTTTTTTTATATGTTTAATTTTTAGATTAATTATATTAATTTAGATTAATTTCTAACTTAAATATTTTTACTTTACCGTTCGATTTTTAACATAAACATTTTTTTCTATAAACCTTCTGACAATTATAAACATAATGAAAAGAATTCGTCGTAATTGTAAAAAATATAAATTCATCAAGTAGTTGCAGCCATTTTAAAATGACATGTTGTCAGCACGTATGTTTATTTGCTAATTGATTTTTATTATTTGATTGTGATTGATAAATTCTGAAAAAAAAAATTAATACAATAACTAGACTATTTCTACTATGAGAAATAACAATACAATTTTTATTTTTAAATATTTTCTTTACAGTTTTGCCTTTGTTACGATTTTTTTCTGTGTAAAGAATATTTTATATAAAAATTAGATTAATAAAGTCTGAAAGTAAATGTATATAAGATAAGTAGATAAATTGTAGAAAAAAAATCCATTTTTTTTATTTTTTTTTATTTATTTATTTATATTTAGATAAGTGGGATCCATTCTTGTTAGTAAGTGTACTTAAAAACTATGTTAATACTTAATTACTAATAATGATCTAGTCCTCTCGGAGAGCATTTTCACGAGAGGAATTTTATTAACAAACATGTTCAGGATACTGTTGCTACTCCCGCGTATTCGACGTAAAAACGAAGCTGTCTTTTTTCGCCAGACTGCTAATTACTTACTTGTATACATTACTTGTATAGTCTTGTTACAATTTTATTCTGTGGAAAAAAGTTTCATATTGCCTTACCTGTATTTCAAAATTTCATTTGTAAAATAAAAACATTTATGTTTAGGGAATTGGGTATTTAGGTCGAGACAAGCAATTTATTAGACATTGCTGTGTACTCTGGAGAGTTCTAAAACTCCTCCAGTAATGTTAGGCAACTGTCTGGTAGACGACGAGAGGCGAGTAGCGAGATGTACGATAATCTTTGAGCGACTCCCAAAGGGGAGGAAAAATAGCGCGAAATTGATATTGAACCACCAACACTTGTCGACTGTAAAAAGATTGATCAAAATCGGTTCAGAATTTGCTATTTTATGGGTTGATAATAGAATGGTAACCTCGCCTGCAAGGGGGGAAGAAATTATTAGTAAAGCGGACTATCATTCCCATCCTCTATACCTCCACGTGGTTTCCAGGTCAATTGAACTGAATTCCAGGTGTATTCACGATAGGTTAACTGGCCTGCTTTTTCATTCTTACCTATCATCCATCACCACGTTACCATTCTATTATTACCAATAAAAAAAATCCTCGCTTGCACTATTGGTATACGCTCTAAGAGTAGTAGTGAAGGATTATAAAAGAGAAAGCAGGTCTCTTAGCCAACGATTTTTTTTTCAAATGGGTGATAATGGAATGGTAACCCCAACCGCGCTATTGGTATACACCGGCGGGGCACCAGTTAAGGATGATAGGTGAGGATGAAGTAGGTCAGTTAGCCCATCGTTATGAATTCAACAAGAATTGTTCACGATGGTTTCCAGGGGGAACCACGTGGAGGTCGACCCGATAGGGTACATTGCTAGCAATATCGAACTCCATTGGTAACAATCCTTTCCCCCCACCGCGTGGAGGTTGTTTTAACAATAAAACAAGAATTAATAAACAAACATACTTAATTTTTTATAATACGATATAGTATAGTATAGATAGTAGGGTTAAAGTTAAGTAGAAAAACATAAAATAACTCTTATTGACCTTGTCATATTGCGGTTACAAAGTTGTTTTAGGTACTTTTAATTGGATACTAATTATAGCGCAACATAGTTGACGTGGTTGGATTTCTTTTTACCTCAAAAAGAGACTTATGAATATACTAAACTGGTATTTTGGTTTAACTAAAACTCGTAGATTCGACGTAGATTTATGCAATTTAGAACGGCAAATAAACTGACGGCCCACCTGATGGAAAATCATAACCGTTACCTATAGTCATGAACAGTACCATGGACATAAAGAAGTATACGGTGTTGCCCGATATATCCTTCATGCGTTATTAATTTCTGAGGACTAAGATATTACCTTTGCCCGTAATTTCACTGCCTATCCCACCCTTGAAACCGAAAATAGGCATGCAAACAACTGCTTCACGGCAGAACGTGAACTCTGAATTCGTCTAAATTTTTTGTACTGTGTTATACAATTAGGAAATGACTCACGATTACTCCCATGTGGGTCTGTTTTAATAGAACATAATGATAAGATAATCAAGTTTTGTTGACATTATCACAGAAATGCTCCCTAAATGAAATTACGAGGCTTACAAGTGGTATCGAACCCATAAACCCTTCATGTTCCACCGTTTGTACAACGGACAATGGCTAGAGTAATATGATGCCCACGCCCACTTACTACCATTGTACAGCTCGCCAACGACAGGGAGTTCACTCCCATACCCTAGAGCCTAGATGGTCACGTACATCGCAGTTTCAGATATGTTTTCTCTCACGAACGCTCAGGTTTTAAATTTCTTATAAATAAGATTATTATAAATTTAGTTTATGATGCTCCATAAAACAGTAATTTTACGAAACTATGAAATTACTATATAAGATTACGAGATATGTTTAGGGAAACGGTGTTTTAGAATCAGTCCCATTGTCTACACCTGCTTACTACGGCAATTCCTGAAAATTTGTGCTGTGATAAATTTTATTTACAAAAAAAGTTACTATACTATATAGATAGACTCTATCCTTAGAAAAAGATACTCTTTATTGTTTTCTCCATATTTATACTTTTATACTTATTATAAATACAAACAATTACAAGAAAATACTACACTAGGAAAACAATGCACGGTCTTATCGCTAAGAGTGATCTCTTCCAGGCAACCTTTGGATGGAGAAGAGTAATTATAAACAGTTTGACTGGAGGCATGAAACTGCTCGTTTTTTAAATACATATAGAGACATGCATACGTACAATCATGTGAATATATAGATGTATATATTAAGTTACTAATACATACATAAATAAATCCATATACATATATATGTAGTTACAAAAATAAAAACAAAAAAAAATTTGAGTATACTAATCGGACACAAATTACGAATATGACAACTTGCTCAGATAGATGTCCTTAATTTTTATGAAAAGAGTACTGTACATACTGTTTCACGCAGACAAAATGGCGATATACAATTAGTTTCATATAAAAAAATAATTCATTTGGCATTCTGAATTGCCGCTGCAGGATCCCGTCATTGTGACTTCTATAAGCCGGGATCTACATCGGACAGACACAATGAACGGCTCGGCTCATGCAAACCCCGGGGAAAGCAAAGGCTCTATTATAAATCTGACAATGAATTAAATCAGAAAAATACCAATATTACTAAGTTATTTTACAATGGAGCTTCTGGTATATTGATAATAATATTGATACCATTTTTTCCCATGCCTTCTTTTCTGGTGGGTGTTGTTAGAGGCGAATAATAGTACTTCATGGTCATGGGATGGGCAGCAGCGTCCCCCTTAAAACATCACCAATCTACCTATCAAGCGTGGCGACTATAGTGTAAATCCTTCATGCGGGGGAGGCCTATGTTCACCAATGACAAACAAGCATGTGGCCCAACTGATGGAAAACGGTTACCATACCTTATGAACGCCTGCAAAACTAGGAGTATTACGCGCGCGTTGCTGAACCTGAAGAATCCTCTTTACCCCTTTTTTTAATTTTTAAATCTCTAGTCGTAGTATCTTTGAAAAACCTCTACAGGGAGCTCATTCTGGTTTAGCACAACAATAATAGTTGACAAACGGTTTTGACTATCCTATTAAGTATTATAGTCGTGAGCATATTTATTTATTTATAAATTTTTGTTGCAGTAGAGGCGGCTCTAACGGCCGTCGGGAACAATTCAGATTCAGGAGGTGACGAGAAAGATACGAAACTGCCGCCACACGACGAACCCAACATGATGGTTGGTGAGTATCAAACTTTAGTATAAATACGATCTCGGAATTTCAATAAAATACCATATTGGGCTCATTTGGGTATACATTGAAATAGCATGCCAGAAATTCTCAACGTGACAATAATAGAAATTGTTGGACAATTGAATTGATTTTTTTAGCCCTTTTTTTGCCCTTTTTTAGTGTTATTATTTTTCTGTCACGCCTTAACCAGACAATATTAATTATTCTCTCCATCCTAAGGTTGCCTTGAAGAAATCGCTATCTTTATCTTACCTTTATGTAATTAAGTATTAATTTTGTTTGTTTACATATTGTTTATTTTTAAAATCTGTATCATTCTTTGAAGGAAACAATAAAGAGTTTTCAATCATTCATTCAATCAATTACTAGTTTTTCGTTTTAAATTTCGTGTAAACAAGATAAAATATAGTCAATAACGTCCCTTTCCATTCTATATACTCTGTGTATCCCAAATTTAGTAACTTTTTCTGAGTCGTTAAGATGTCAAGAAGTAAATACACACTTTAACATTTATTATTATGGAGATGTTTAGAGAGCTAGCGGGATTTTCTTATTTAAACCACATTTAAGTTTCTCGCAAGTCGCGTTCCAAAATTACTTCGTCTCGTCCTTTCAATATCACTCAACACGTCAATTACTTTATTTCCGGCTTTGACAGTAATGTACTATTATTACGTTTCTATTTATATCACAATTTATGTTCTCGTAGTTACTTTTTTTCACTAGCTACATATATCTGTAGCTTCATTCCGAGTCCAGTATAATAGGTAACTTTCTTCACCATCCTATTAACATTATAAATACCAACAATATAACAATGGAAGGATGGGTATTTGTTACTCTTTCACGCAAAAACGAAGGGATTTGAATGAAATTTGGTACGCGAATAGGTTCTATCCTAACTTAGCGCATCATTATCAACACATCAGCTTTTAACTGTCTGCTGCTGAACATAAGCTTCCCTCTTGGGGGGTTTGCCAGTAGTTGTCACACTTGGCAGACGAATTGGCAATCGCAGTAAGGCTTCGGACGTGTTTTAAGAGGGACGCTGCTGTTTATACATCGCCCTCACTTAATCGCTTTTTACGACACCCACGGGAAAGGTAAGGGTGGCCTATCCTATGCTGGGACCAAACAGAAATTAGCATATAGGTTACTTCATATACTGATTGACACGGGTAAAGCTAGTTGTAATTACTATGCGTATGCCAAATTACATGATGATTTATGACGACAGTATAAGATATTGATCTACAAAAACAACTACTTCAATTGTCACAAAATTTTACTTTATTCATTGTAAATAAATAAACAAATTTATAACAATTTAAGCAGCTGTTTATATATGTATATATTCAAAGACTCCCATTCCCGTAATCTTCGGTCATCTCACAATCTACTCGTAATCCCGTCACACCATTTCGGATTTATGTCCAATTCTTTTACCGTCACTGTTATCAGCTTTTGGAAAAGAAACCCTGTAAATCTACGCATAGCAACTAGTGAGCCCATTTTTAAAAGAAGACTTTTCAATTATTTGTTGAGTCACCAAAACAACTTTGCCTACAAGTTACTCAATATATTTGTTATATAATGCTTATCGTCGATTCAATATACTAATATATGTTTCATATATTAGTATATTGTGCGTGTTTAATTCGTGTATAATATAGTATATATCATATATGTGTAAGTATATTTATTATTCATATATATTTATTCGTTTATATATGTAATTTTAGCATGTATGTATATCAATAATTAGTAGTACCGCATTCGAGTATTCTGACACTTCTCTATGGTTGACTGGGAGAGAATGCTTTTAGCATTAAGTCCGCCATGTACACATATATATATGCATACATATTAAAAGTAATGTTAAAGTGTTATATGTGTATTATGTTAATTATATATGTCTAATTAATCCAATATGTTACAATAGTTTTGTCACATATTTTTCACCACATCTGCCCTTCATAGGCTTTTTGTTTTTACCTAATAATTAGTTGATAGAGAAAGCCATATGTCATTAAGTTCGTCACTTGTACAAAGTTTTATTGTACAGTTTTGTCTTTTGCTGTATAGGACTGAAGATATATCTTTACCTTTACTTTTGATATATTTGCATATATATACATAAATATGACCCAATTTAAAGTTGTGCCGTACCATATTTCACGCTTTATGTATAATATAGCGGTGATAAATACATAATAATATTATCACTTTATCACATATAATCGGATACGTTGAATATGGTGCAAATGTGTTTAATTTTACATAGGATACGCAAATAGTGTTATGTACATATTATGTTTTCTATTATATGTGACAGTTTTGTACTAATTGTTATCTATCTCTCTCTCTTATATATATATACATATATAACATAAAATGATGATTATAATATACATACATAAATATAAATATATAAGGAATATATATACATATATATATATATATATATATATATATATATATATATATATATATATATATATATATATATAATAAAATATAAATGATGATTAGCTACTATTGTTGTAAATATATATACCAAATTTCATGACGATTGGTAAAGTTGTTGAAACGTCAAGGTAAATAAACAAGTAGTATAACACCGTACTAGATAAGAACATGTGTATCTATTATTTATAAATACAAAATGGTTTGTCTTTCCTGTTAATTATTTATTTGTTTGGAAAATACTACAATCAAGACTTTATACTATACTCAAATAGCAACTGCTTAAATACAAGGCATGGGTAATATGGATACCGATTCGATATCTATATATTGGGTTCTTCTGGACATTGAATATTGCCATATATTATTCAACCCTACTAAATACAGTATTTTTAAACCTTGCTAAATAATTAACTGATATATCGCAAATAGCAGTATTGTGGGGGAAAGGGATTGTTAGTAATGGAAACTGAGAATCCCATTGCTAGCAATATACCCAACCAGGTCGACCTCCTCGCGGTTCCCCCTGGAAACTATCATGGTTAATTCCTGATGAATTCATCATGATGGGCTAACTGGTCTGTTTTCATTCTCATCTATCACCCTTCACTGGTGCTCCGCCAGCGTATTCCGTTAGCGGAGGCGGGGCTACCATACCATTTTCATCTATCAAAAAAAAAAATAGCAGTATTTTACAGATACTCAAATGATCGTAGAATTGCTTCGAAAACCTAAAAACCGCAAGCTTGTTTATATTCGCCATCGCTCCTTGCAAAGTCGTCAACTTGTATTGAAACAACTTTGGAACTACACCCACATTTTACCGTTTGCTCATATATCGAGGCTATCAATATGAAAAAGTAGACGTTTTTGCTATCTTGGCTGTAGTGTGATAGCAAATAGTTCATCTATAAATAAATATATAACTGTTTCGTAGCTATTTCTATTTGTTTTTGTTACTATTAGTATAACTGCCACCAACACTCGAAGATTGTTCGGATTGATACCTGCTGCTGATTTTCACCATCGTACAACCCGCCATAAACTAAAATTTCATTTTAACCATTACTACCAGCGTTTTTCAGACACTTTCTTCCTCTTTGGAATCAATCCAGCAGCAGTATTTCCGAACCGATACGACAACATAATCATATTCTTTTTCTGCACACCTGCAATGCCGTATTTCGTCAACACATGTTTGTTTGTCTCTGTGTGTTGCATTGACCACGTCATTACTGTTTTTCCATATTTATCAATCTCTGACTGCCATTTCTTCAACACACGTTTTGCAAACGTGTTTTATTAAAGAGGCATCTTCAGGCAAATTATTAGATCGCTGCTCGGAATCTAGTGTTACCCGTTTGGCATCCAAACTGTGAATGACTATAATATAATAACACGATAATATATAATGATAGGTATACAACAGTTTAATGTAACAATTGCTTTATCAACACCATCGTTTCTCAACCCTTTCTAAGGGTCGTGCCTTTGGGGGGGTCACGTTTGTTATGAAAGGGGGGTTGTAGTCTGTTGAAAAATAATAAGACCACGAAAGATTCGTTTAAAGTAGCGACGCGCGACTTTACTAATCCAACTACTAATTATTCGACTGTGTAATTCATTCGGATTATATATTATTGTTTTTGAAATCATTCGATATTCTTCTGTATACTCTTATTATACGAAATACGCTTCTACTAAGATCATTCATTAGTTGTTCATGTACAAGTTGATCCGATTGCTGTATTATAATTATTTTTTCTTCGTCATAGTCATCACTTGTTAGTACGTAGTAAATATAAACTATACATACATACATATCTGTCACGCCTGTCTCCCATTAGGGTAGGCAGAAACAATGGAACGCCAAATGCTTCGATTCAAACAAACCTCTTTCACTTCTTCCACATTCATCAATCTTTTCATACACGCTCGCCGAACGCTCGCTAAACTATTCATTAAAATATTATTATAATATCTTATAATTTTATTATGATGGGGAAAGCAAACCTTTTTACTTAACTTTTTGACTTTTTTTTGGATGGTGACATTAAAATGGTTGAGTAACAATAATCAACACCGTATTCGGTACTCCATTTCTATCGCGCGTTGCATAGAAATCTTTGACAATTATCTATACATGGTCTCTACTTCGATAACTTTCCACACATCTGCCGTCATTCACTCAACAGATGTCACCAACCCACTGCCACTTTTCGCTTACTTAGAGCAAAAAATGGCAATAAAAGTTGTTGGGAATCAGTTCGCTAACGTATCTCGTAAGGAAACTGAAGTGATAATATATATAGGTTATTTCCTGCTATCATTGGTGACCCAGTTACAATGTATTTGTTGAACAAAACCGAAAGAGTGAATTTTTTGTTACGACTCACACTCGGCTGAGGGTATCCACAGAACGCTAAATGAAAATTGACAGAAACATTGTTTGAAATCCGGTACAGTGCTCCACAATGCCTTTTGTTTTATAAACAGCCCTTTTTTTTATTGAGAGACAGATA